CTGCAGTCTGGAACAGACTGGCACCACAGTGTACAAAATGGTGCCTGATGTACCACTACTAGAGTTCTTAATCTGCTGGCCATCAGGTCTGAGGGCTATCAGGACCTGTCTTGGGTGGAACCTGAGGATGCCACATTTATGTAGTTCACTGAGTTAGAAATGAGTTCACTCCCAGCTCAGCGCATGCTCAGTCCTTTCCCTTGCCTTTGCCTCCTTACGCAAAATGGCGCCTGATTCGGCTTTAGGGGGTTGACTGGGCTGTGAAATACATGCTGTTGTTGCACTGCCCATCTGGGATCTGCTGCTCTGTCTCTGCTCCTGGTCAAATCAAACGGACCAGCAGGACGGACAGTTCTTTGTCTGGGTTCACCTCCAAAGCTCCCAGTGAAGTTTGTTCCCACCTGGTTGCTGGTGGAGTTCGGGCTGCCAGTAGAGTTCACATTGCTACTCGCTGAAATGCCACTGGGATATCAGTCACTGCCACAGCACACCATGGTTTTCGCTGCTTTCCTGTGTCTGTTAGTCTTGAGGTACCCATCTGTCCTCTCCTATTTCCTGGAATGTATCCTCTCTGCTTCATCCTGAACAAATGTTTCTCAGTCTGTTTAACGTGTCCTTACCCTATTCCAACATCTTGATTCTCCGGCTGCTCTGTTTCTAATGCATCTTCCTGTTAACACATCTGGGAAAGTAATGGAAGATGGGTAACATACTTTATTTTCTGCTACCCATGAGGGAGACGGAGATGGAGTTCTGGGTTCTTGGTTCTTAGCTCTGCTTTGTCCAGTTCCAGCCATTGTGGCTATTTGGGGAGTGATATGCAACCAACATATGCAAGATCTCTCTTTCTCTCTCTGCTTATCTCTCTGCCACTCTTCCTGCCAAATAAACAAAATCAAATATTTTTAAAAAATGAAAGGAAAACTCCAAATGACTTGATAATGGGCCCAAGCAATATTCTCAGGAGCAGTTTACATTATACTTCCGTTTTTCACTTAGTGATAGAAGCTGGGAGATACAGTAATTTATCATTGATTCTTTTTAATTTTTCATTTTTATTCTACATATTTGTGAGGTACTATATAATAACTCAATCCCTGTATTCAATGTGTGAAGATATAGTCCAGTTTGTTAGCGCTTCCATTGCCTAAACAGTTTTTAAACACATTTTTTTGATTAACACTTAACAATTATATGTAATTACAGGGTACAGTATGACATTTCAATGAATGTACACAATATGTACTGCTGAAATCAAGGTGATTAACGTTTCTCTCTCCTTGTCATTATCTTATGATTGGAGCCTTTGAGTACCTCTCTTCTATTTGCTCAGAACATACATAGTAGGTTATTAAGAACTTGTCTTTTGTTTTAGAGAGAATGTCTCAGCTTTCCCAAACTACCAGAATCCTGAACATTCAATTTCTGTAGCAGAATTTTGAGTCTTTATGGAATTTTTCTCTTCATTTTTGTACTCAACTTTCTTACCAGGCATTGAATGCGGTGCTATTCAAAGCCTGCCTCGTGACTGGCCTGTGACCTATTTGTACTTTTCTGCAGTGAAGTATTTGCAGAGAGCTAGAAGTAAGCTTTTAGAAAGGTTTATAGTGACGACATGGTTGTGGCATTGGTGCATTACCAGTGGTTTTGTCTTACTTAGCCATGTTAGATCCACCTGCATGTTATGAATTTATACAATAAGGCACATGTAGTCACATGTTAATAATAACACAGGATATTATAAGGTTGGTATGTCAGCTGAAATCCTTGTGTATAAAACCATAAACTAGTATTTTAAAGGTTTATTTATTTTTATTGCAAAGTCAGATATACAGAAAGGAGGAGAGACAGAAAGAAGTTCTTCCATCTGATGATTCACTCCCCAAGTGACCACAACAGCTGGAGTTGAGCCAATCCAAAGCCAGGAGCCAGGAGCTTCTTTTGGGTCTCCAATGTAGGTGCAGAGCCTCAAGGCTTTGGGCCATCCTCAACTGCCTTCCCAGGCTACAAGCAGGCAGGTGGACTGCCGGGTTTAGAACCGACACCCATATGGGATCCTGGTGTTCAAGGCGAGGACTTTAGCCACTAGACCTCCACTCCGGGCCCAAATTAATTTTTTTTTCATTGGAAGATCATCTTGTTTAATTTTGTATGATAAAGTACTGAGAGGAACCAATGAAGAACTGAAGAATGATTTCTGAAAATACAGCCTATTTAGGCCTGATGCAGTAGCATATTGACTAAAGTCCTTGCCTTGTATGTGCTGGCATTCCATATAGGCACTAGTTCAAATCCTGGCTACTCCACTTCCTATCCAGCTCCCTGCTTGTGGCCTGGGAAGGCAGTTGAAGATGGCCCAAAGCCTTGAAACTCTGTCCCCACTTGGCAGACCCAGGAGAAGCTCCTGGCTCCTGGCTTTGGATCAGCTCAGCTCTGGCCATTGCAGCCACTTGGGGAGTGAACTGGTGGATGGGAGATCTTTATCTCTGTTTCTCTCTGTAAGTCTCACTTTCCAATAAAAGTAAATAAATCTTTAAAAAAGAAGAAGAAAATACAGCCTACTTGCCTTTTTTTTGAGTAAAAGTTATTACCCTGAACTTACTGGAAATGAAAATCTCTTCCTCCATTCCTGATTGTATCCTTCTATATCCTTCTGCTGTGAATGCTGTGTCATTAAAATGAATCATAGAAATGATTTAGATAGACATTGTTCTTTGTGAGTAGGATTATCATCAATCCAACTGAGTTTAGATAATTTTACAAGCAAGAAGAAAATGTGCTTTGAAGTTATTCAATGGTGATATCAGGATTTCACTCATAACTCTTTAGTTGTAAATGAAGCATGAAAAATGTTTTGAGTGTAATGGTGATTTTTAGATTAATAATAACATTCAGTGAACAATCTGTGCAGATTTTTAGTTAGTTTTGCTTATTAAATTTTTCATAATTATATTTGTGGAAGTTTAATTTTACATGTATTGAACCTAATGATTAGATTGTTTATATATGTTTTGTTTTTATTTCACTTTTCTAGTAACCCATTTTCATCAAAGTTTATTAAGTGGTAATATAACTAAAAAAAGCAACCCTTCACACAATTGGGCAATTGTTGTTTGGAGTATTTTCAGTTGAACTCACCAGGTACAATCATCTATACTGTGGCTCACCTGATGGTCTACAGAAAGTCAAGGTGAACAGGTTGTTGTGGACTGGCAGAGTTCATGGAAGGCTTGAGAGATATCCTGGCTGTGTACTGCCAGCCTTACCATGTAAATGTGAACTTAATTTTTTAATGATGAACATATAGAGTATATATGTCAGATCAGTACCTGTTTCTAAGCTGGGTTCACCTAATCCTGCCTAGATACCATGTGTAGCATGCCAGCTGCAGTTGGGGCAACCATCTGCTCAGGGTTGCAATGGTTTGTCATCATCTGTTAGAATCAGTCAGTCTCACAGATCCAAGATAGTCAAGATGTGGCTATTTATCTTTGCATCTTGAATTTTTTTATGTTAGTGGTAATTGCGGTCATTTTCCCAGTTGCAACAGTTTTTTTCTTGTCTAACGGTGAGAATAAGGAGTTTCAAAAAACTTGGAGTTGACTCTGTTGGTCTTGGCTATCTCAAACTTGCCAACTCTTACAGTAGTTACATCCCTTTTGTCTTTAACAATTAAGTGTTGCTATTTGTCCTCTACCATTTTAAATCCTATGTCTCCCAGTTGTATCACCTAGGATTCAATAGGAGAAATGGAACAAGAAGGAGATATGTAGAGATTGAGTCTAAGAGATTGGCATGATGGGGGCTGATTGGTCAGATCTGGAATTCTGGGGCAGACTTCAGGGAGGGCAGACTGGAACTCTCCAACATGGGATGAGGCTGCTGTCCACAGGAAGAATGCTTTCCTGAGGGAAGCCTCAATCATGATTCCAGTGCTAATTAACGTGGTCCCATCCTGATGTTCCACCTCCAATTTACAATAAACTGGTGATGGAATGTAATCACATACAAAGTGCCTTTATACAAACATCTAGTTCGGCATGAGAGTAACAGGGATGCTAGCTAATCTAAGTTGGTACATCAAAAATACCATCACAAACCACCCCTTGGACACCCACACATATCTCCTTAAACCATATTTACTATCCAAAGAAAGATAGTAAAGTCACACTTCTGCCTAACATGATACAACCATCCTGAGTACAATTGAAAATGTTTTAACACTTTCTCCAGAATGGAATAAAAAGTCCTTGGATGATGCTCACTGTTGTTGTTTGTATCTTAAACACTGAAAAAAATTAGCTGTTGTTAACACAGTTTGTGTTTGACAATAAGGGAATGAGTGAAAAACATTTGGTAGATAGCTAGCTAGCTAGCTAGATAGATAGAAATTTTAATAAAAAAATTAGGAAGAAACATTACAATCCCTGTTTCCACCATATGATCATAGCTAATGTGTTTGATTACCTTTTCCATCATCCAGTCCGCATACTTTTTGTCCTTGGCAGGCACATTAGCTGGTTCTATTTCTTTACTTGGTAAGATAACTCAAGCCTTTATTTCTGAAGGGTATGTGCCATTAACAGTCTTGCCTGAGCTCGGTTGTTACAGTTTTCCATCGACTTAAATCACATGACATGTGAGTTCTGAAAGACCCTGAGGAATGTCCTGTATTCTAGACATCCTCTCTCTTTTTTTCCACTGTGTAACAACATCCAAGATTCCCCTTGGCGGTGAAGATCAATCATCCCAGATAGTACTGTCATCCTTTTCTTTGATTGTTGATTCAGACGCATGAGAAGCCCATCATGGCAGTGCAACAATTGTTTAATTCAAGGGAATTTTTGTCGTGTCTACTGTTGGAAACTTTGCTGTCTTTGAAGCTAAGACCCGTAGATAAGGTGATCCTAAATTTCAGAGACAGGAAGCACACATTCTGCTGTGGAGCACTGGGAGTATTGTTTTTGAATCCACTTCCATTTCAACTCTTTGACTCATAGGTACATGAATTCTGACCGCAGGAGAAACGCTGCCATGGATTTATGCTGACTTGAGCCTACACAGCCTTGCTCCAGCCCTGCAGAATGTTGTTACCTAGCTGGCAGAATAAACCAAGTTTTAAGATAATCCACTCTTCTTCTTCAAGATCCATCTGTCTTCTGCAAAGGTAAGTTCATGGAGATATGGTGGGACTCACCACTTCTTTATCTTCCAAGTCCTTATTGTTAGGTCTTATAAACATACTGCCCCTCTCCCAAACTTGGCAAACTTACAATTGAGGAACTACAGAAGCAAGATAGCTTTGACCTCCTGCTTTGTTCTCCAGAGCCATGGTCATAAAGGCATTATCTAACCTATCTTACCTGAAAGTACAACATAAGATCCTCATTCCAGAAGAGTGTTGCCATACACTTAGAGTTCAAGAAGGAATTGAGCAAAAGGCCTTGCTAAGGATCTCAGTTAGTACTGATAGGTCATATCCCCCTTTTTGACAAATCACATTTCTCCACAACCATTTTATGCCAAATTGTTTCACCAAATTTGGCATAAAAATCCAGTTTTCCCTGGGCCTTAGGCCTTCATTTCTGAATGTTCCCATGTCATATACACTTAGCTATCATTAAATGAACATCATACTTTTCTCTTATAAATGTGACTCTGTTATAGATGTGTTAGCTGTGACCCTTGAGGTGAATGAGGAAAAGGTGTTACTTCTCTTTTCTCTGCATTGATCTCCATTTTAAAATTTTATTACTTTCAGTTTATAATTTCTGTAGGTAGATAGAGTTCTTGTGGCTTTTACATGATCTTGTCCACCACAAAAACCTTCTTCCTACTGGACAAAGAACCAATGTAGGCAGGCATTTGTGAGTTGCAAAGGATGCTTATTCTAATTACGTACTTCAGACTGAGTTCAAAGATCCACTGGATTCACTGTGTAATACAGCTGAATGAAAACCCCATTGATTATTTGGATTTTATAATCAGTCTTATTGTGGACTGCAGTGTAATATTGGATCTTTAAAAATTAGTGTTGCTGCATGATTGACCTGTGAGCCCCTTGGGTGGAAGGTCCAGCAGGGCCTGAGTTGCCTGGCATGGGAACTCTGGTCTACCTACATGGAGAGAGCAGGAGGGTTTGCTTCAGAGAGGGCCTGGTACATCCCGGGTCAGGCTGTCTGGGGTGCCATTAGCACTGGGCGAAACCCACAGTCTGTCCAATGGCACATTTGTGGGGGTTTGGGAATGTGGGCTTGCAGGGAGTCTGGGGGCTAGCACAAGTGGGGGCGTGTTGGGACCTGAGGGTTCACATTCAGAATTGGTGGACTGACTGTATCAGAACTGGGCCTCCTCAGTGGAAAAGATGGAGAAATGGATGGCAGGCCCAGATGCAAATGGAGAACATGGTAGCCCACTGGGAATTGCAGAGGACATCCGATATCACAACAGAGGAAGGAGGGCAGAACAATTTGGATGACTAACCAGCCAACAGAAAATATCTGGGCAAATGGTGACTCTAGGGTGGATTATGTCAGCCAGTGGACCTTGAAAGGATTTCTTCATCCTTGGATCGGTGAGATCAACAGCATTTCAGAATTATTGAAACACTTAAGCAAAGCCCTCAGAACATGCTGCACATCAGAGACCCTGGGTTGATTTCAGGTGGCTGTTCCCTATCCCTGGGTACTGGGACATTTGGGAGGCTGGGTGTAGCTTCTCCACTTGTCTCCCTCCTCCCACCAAATACGGGAGGAAGAAAAATAAAATTTGGAAACAATGGTCTCATCTACTTCCCCTAACCCTCCATCCTTCCCACTCTGATCAACCATGTAAACATCATTAAAAAAAAGATCAGTGTCAGTTCAGAGCTAACATCCAGTAAACCCTGAACATTGTATTTATCTTTCCCCAGTGCCTTGATGAATGACTGTAGATCCCCTGGGAACAGGCTAGGGTAAACATATAAACTGTATAGATTTTTGGCCACATAATGAGGTCCTTCCTTAAAGAGCTGTGGGCTTCTTTCACTCAAGGAGTTCTGAGTCCATAAACTGGCTCAAATCTGAGAATTGCCTGAGAGGCCATGATTGTGTTTTGATAATTCAAATAACATTGCTGCTTGCTAGATCTATAACTCCTCTGCTTATAAAGTAGCTAATAATTTAGTGATTTGCAAATCTATTTCTTCTTTTTTTAAGACCTTTCTTTTTTTATTAGAAAGGCAGATGTACAGTGAGAAAAACAAAGATCCCCCGTCCATTGGTTCACTCCCCAAGTGGCTTCAATGGCTGGACGTGAACCAGTCTGAAGCCAGGAGCCTCCTTGAGGTCTCAAACATGGGTATAGGGTCCCAGGGATGTAGGCCACCCTTTACTGCTTTCACAGGTTACAAACAAGGAGCTGAGTAGAAGTGGAGCAACTGGGTCATGAACTGGCACCTATATGGGATCCTGGTGTGTGCAAGGGGAGGATTCACCAATTGAGGCATCACACCGGGCCCTGTAGTGTACTTTGGTCTGGATGTGGTTTGTCCCTCAAAGTGTCTGTGTTGGAAACCTCATAATTGCAGGGACAGATGTAATCCCTGGACCCTCCTGGGGTAGATAAATAGGCTTCATGTGTTCAATTCACTCCAACACCCTAAAATCCCCAAATCTGGAGTCTTCCTCTATTGTGTACCAAGGCATTCTTGGAATGACAAGTTTATTTAAAGTAGGCCATATTTGGGTCTGTGCTTCAGTTTACCAACCAACCAAATAAATATACTGTTTAAAGCTCTTCCTAGCTTCTCAGGCTAACATGGAATCCAGAATCTCTGGCTAGTAGACTCACATCAGTAAAGTCAGCTTGACCGAGTTTTATTTTCCTTCCTCCTTGATTCTACACTCTACATTCCCATTCACACAGGTTCTGCAGATCTTTATTTGTATCAAGCATAAAAGTAATGCCATTCTTTTAATGCACAGTGGACCTCCTTGCTTGGCTCACACTTTGCACCTGACCCTTTGGGGCTGGTTGAGACTTGAGTCTATTCTAATACAGGGTTGACAAGGGTGGGTTCTGAGGCGAAACAGTAGCACCTTGCAAGTCCACTGTCTTAAGGAACTCTCACTACAGTTTCAGGCAGAGCATTGTAAATGTAACCTTGGTTGGAAGGGCTGCTTCTGCAAAGAAGACTTGACAGAATTTAGAACTACAAGGTCCCCAGATTCATCAAGATCCTATGTCCCAATCCCAATTTTAAGTATAAAATTTCTTTTCAATCAACACTTAAATGTTACCAGAAGATACTCTGTAATGTTGGGAATACAATTTGTGTTGTAATTCATTCACTTGCAGGATGATACTCTTAGTCCGATGTTTAGAAATCTAATTCTTGAGTGTACAGGTGATAAAGATTACCTTCAGGGAAAACTCAGCAGTTTTCAGGATTTTAACTCCTGTGTTAATGATGAGGAATGAACTGAAGATACTAATGTTATGATCCAGTTGTAAGATGATGATGATGGGCCAGAATGGTAGCAGTGAAGACCGGTTAGAATATTCTTTGAACTAAGGTCATAGAAATGGCTGATAAGTAGGCTTGGGGCGGGGGGAGAGGAAAAAAAGAGAGAGAGAGAGAGTGTGTGTGTGTGTGTGTGTGTGTGAGAGAGAGAGAGAGAGAGAAAGAGAGAGAGAGACATCAAGGGTGTTTTCTATGTATTTGACTTGACTGTAGGTGAGGTTGACACTGAGTTGCATAGCTGCAGGTATGGGGGTGGGGAGAATCAGAGTTAAGTATGGGAAATCTTTCAGCTATTCACAAGGAGATGTCAAGAAAGCAATTGAATTCTGTCACCCACTTATCTACCAAGTGGTTTCTGTTCTTACACAGTCCATACTCAAATTTTGACAAATTGTCCCCAAAAAGTCCTTTAGAGAAATTATTTTTCCGCTATAGGACCTAATCCAGTATCACCCGCTGTATTCCATTATGATATCTCTTCAGTTTCTGTAATCTGGAGAAATTCTGTTTTTCTATTTCACGACATTGGGAGTTTTGAAGAATGCAGGATAGTTATGTAGAATGTCCCTCACTTTTGATGTATGAAAGTTACTTTGTGGTTATTTCTGGAGTAAGCATTTTAGACTGGAGAACAGCAGAAATCACATTGTACCCTCTTCAGTGCATCCTACTTGGAGGCACCTGTTATTAATTTTCTCCATCCTGGGTCTTGTTTATCTTGATCATTTGATTAAGTGTTGTCCTCCAAATTCCCAAACTTACCATTTTCTCCTTTGTAATTAATTAGTAGTCATTGAGTAGATGACTTGAGATTGATATTAGGAGATTGCGAATATCCTAATTCTCACCCAGTTTGCACCCCATGATTTTAACATTCATCTATGACTTTGGCCTGAATCAATTATTATTTTGCTAACTGCAAACTGATGACCTTTTAAGGCTGAATAATTCCTCTTACATCTATTTGTTGACTGTTAACGCTGAAAGCAAGAGCTACCACAGGCTGTTGAAATGGCATGTGTCTTTCATCAGACTATAAACTCCTTTGAAAGCTCTCACACCAATGCTGAGTCTAAAGTTGATGCTCAAGAAATAGACATTCAAATGGACTATACTAAATCCACCTTTCATTTGGAGAAGATATTAAAAATGCCTGTGTTCAATGTTACTGAGAGGCAAAGTGAGATCTTATACATGGGGAGGCTTTGTAACCCATGACTGATTGGTTTTACAGATGTGAACAGCAATCCTGGTTAGGGATCAAGGCAGGGCCATGTGAAGGCACAGGGCAGCCCAGCAGGAGGAAGATGGAAACCAGTGGGAATGACCATGAAAATCAATAGCTGAACAGATGGAGGGAGCAGCTTCTGCCTGGAACTTTCAGCCCTGTCTTGGAGGAAGCGCTGGGCATGTGCTCAGGGCCTGTTGCTTCCACTTCTCCCTTCCTGCCTCCCTCTCGTTCCTGCCACACCACTCTGCCCATCTCTCCACGCCCTCCTCCAGAAAGGCAGACACTCTCCTGCAGCTGTCAGGCTTCTTTCCCTGAAGAATATCTCTAATCGCCCCGCCTGATTGGGTCTCGTTAGCGGCTG